CTATCTAATGGAATACTAACTATGTTAATTGAATGCATTTTTTGGCTTGCAGCTCGCGAGAAATGGGAAAATATTGTCGAAAAAATATGACTTTTCCATACATAATGGCCATTTTCCCACAAAAAGACAATTTTTTTTCTCTTTAAAAGATATATTTAGATAGAGCGAAAAAAAGTGTACTTATCTATATCATTTTTAGAGGTAGACACGATATTCAGACGAAGTGGTATGGCTTCAGAAAGAGACATCGATATCTTTTACCGCGAATTTCTGCTCATAATCCGACTTCAAAAAAATGTTTTGTGCATTTAGATTCTGTAATTTTTATACTATTAGATAGAGAATAGTTGATTACCTATTTGAAATATGTTTTCAAAGATTTGGAACGCGAAATTAAGAGAAAACGGATCCCAAAACCATCGGAAACTTTGAATTTTGGCCTAGGATTGAAATCATAAAAAATTTCGCGTTCTGACTTATTAAAAAATTTCAGACTAAAATCCACACTCATATTTGTGATCAGCACTATTGACTCTATATTGTGACATGTATTTGACTAAAGAAAAAGAAAATTTTTTTTCCAGGTGTGCCGTAGGGGGGTACAAGTGCAAAAATTTTTGATGTCGAACTATGGTGAAAAACTATGCCTATGTTGTAGCCCATGAACGACTTGTTATGATCATGTAGTTTTTTTCTAAAAATTTTTTGGGGAGAAAAATGTCCTTATCATCCCATGTCCTTTCTATTATATAGAAATTATTTTATTTGAGAAATAAATAATTGAAAATAGATTATTTAAAATAATTTATATGAATTTATTCCGAAATAGATTAGCAAAATAAAAACTAGTCTTAGAAATAATTGAATATTATTATAAATAGTTGATTATCTATATTCAACAAATAAAATATTTATCCTCTTTTTTTTAAACAAATAAAATAAAATAATTTCTATATAATAGAAATTTATCGAACAAATGTTGTTGTTGATAATAAAATAAAGTGATTGTTGATATTGATAAAAAAAAAAATGTTAAAATAATGAAATAGATAAAAAATGTTGTTGTTATTATTTAGTATGGAATGGGTTCATCATTATATATTGATCGTTTAAATAATGGTGAAGATTTGTTAAATGGATTTGTATCAAATGATGATCGGTAATTTAAAAAAAAGAATGATTTTAATATTCAATTGAATTCTATTTTAGATCAAATGAAATGTTAATGTATGATGGAAATGGTCAAATCGATTGAAATGACATTCATCTCTACTAGATTTTTTTTTTTTTGTAAATAAAATGATGTTTAATACAAGATATACAAATAAAGAAAAGAAAAGAAAAAAAAAAAAGATCGAAGTCACTGTTTAATTGAAGATTCATATTGAATTAATTTCATTTTAAGTTTTTGATTTTCTCTTTTTAAATCTTCAAGTTGTTTTTTTAATTGGTCACTTTCTCTTTCTAAAAAATCAGCTCTTAATGCAATTTGATTTTCTTTCATTCGTCGTGCATCACGTGATCTTTTTGCAGCTAAATTATTTTTTCTTCGTCTTGCCCAATATTTTTCATCTTTTAATTCATCTGGAACAAACTGCTAAAAAAATTGTTTAAATTAATAAGCAAAAACAAAAAAATTTAAAATATATAAATAACAAACTTTTGATTGATGTTGAAGTTTTCTCGATTTTTTATATTGTTTTGTATTTGAATTTTTTGATAAAGTATCATCTTGAGAATATTTTCTTGATGAATTTGATGATTGATGACCTATTATCAAAAAAAAAAACAAAAAAAAAACAGTAAAATAAATAAAAAGATAGAAAAAAAAAATGACGAAACTAATTGAATCATCTAAAGGTGATTTAGCTGGTGCCGCTTGCATAGGTGAATGAAGAATAAGTGTATCTTGATTTTGATTTGGGGAATTTGATGTTGTTTGTTCAACATGTTCAAAATGATTTGAAAATGATTCAATATCATTTAAATTTAAATTATTTTCACAAAGAAGTTCATCAATATCAATATTTTCAACTTTAAAATTTGATCCCGAAGTTGAATTAAGATTTTTTTCATTATGTAATGTTGTTGATGAAGCTGTTGTTGTTGTTGATGATGTTCCACCATTATTTGCACTATATAATTGATCTTTATCCCATAAATTTGGACCAAGAAATGCTGAAGAATTCCAAGCTACTTTTGATGCTAACTCATTTGATAATAATTGTTTATCCGATTTTACTAAATAACAAAAAAAAATTTATTTTAACAAAAAATAAGAAAATCAAACTCGTACATTGATAATCATCTTCAAAAAGAGGAAAATTCTTAAATAAAATATCAGCCAATTCAGTATTTTCTAATAAACATTTTAATGTTGACGTTGGAAAATTAGTCGAACTATTCAACATATTTTGACCTTTATTTATTTTCTAATAAAATGAGTAAACCGAAAATAAATCGTCTTGTTGCTTTTTTTTCTTTACGAGAAGAGCACAAAGTGCAAATTAAGAAAGAACGAGAAAGAAAATCTATTTTGTCGTTAATATACTCTTAGTTATTTTGAGGACGAATAAAAAAAAAGAGAATCGAATACCTTTCCTACAAGGATAGATAAATAAATACTTACAGTCAACATTATTTTGTAATTGTTGTTGTTGTTGTTGTTGCTGTTGTTGTTGTTGTTGTTGTTGTTGTTGTTGTTGATATGAATAATGTTGATTTCTTTGTTGATGTGAATGAATTGATGAATAATTTGAATGTTGAGAATAAAAAGGTACTTGTTGATGATGAATTGAATTTCCATAGATTTGTTGAACTTGTTTTATTCCAACATTATTTGCAACATATGTTGAACCTACAAATCCATAATGCGGATGCATCATTCACACTAACTACGTTCAACGACGCAGTTACGTATTATTTTCGTAATGTTGTTGTTGGACGAGCATCGTTCACTGCCCTCGACAAGAGAGAGAGAGAGAGAGAGAGAAAAAAAAAAAGAAAAAAGAGAAAAAGCAGTTGGTGTTCCCTTAGCTGCAACAATTGTACCCGTTGCGATGGCCGATGTAACGTCCATCGGTCGCCGGTTTTTTTTCTTTCTTTCTTTGTATTGAGCTCGACCGATAGAGAGAAAAGAAAAAGAAGAATTATGAAATGTTTATGACCGATTCTCTCTCTCTGACGTCAAAAGAAGGTTTGTTGAATTTGGTATATATGTGCCCGTTTGTTGACCTATGTTTCTTTCCTGTGTTCTCTAAAATATGTTGCGTCGTCGTCGTTGTATGTGTGTGTGTGTGTAATGTCCACAATTATTATCGAACTCTGACTCGACCGACCATTCTTAAGGGTCGTCACTTTTTTTTTTTATTCTACCAATAGAGTTTTTACTCTGATCAGAACAATTCTTTGTTTCTTTCTTTCTTTCTTAAGATATATTTCGATATTTTGCAATATGAACTATTTATCAAAACAAAAATTTTTTTTCATTTTTTTTTTTTTTTTATTGAAAATAATTCTTATGCAATAGAATACGAATTAATTTCCTTAAAGAATTTTTCTAAAATAAAATTTAAAAAAAAATGATCAATTTCTATGATAATAATTATGATGATTGATGAAAAATGATGTTCGACTGATAAATATTGAAATGGTTGAATAAAAAGACTAGAATATAATCAACATTTTGTTTTATCACTCTTAATTTATATAAAATAATAAAGATAATATTTTATTTAATTGTCAAAGTCTAGAATAGACAAAATACCTATAAGGAAATCAATAGATTTCATTATCTTTCAACAAATTCAATTCAATTTTCTAATAGTAGAGTCGAGTAAACTGATAGAAAAGATAATGAAATCGTTCGTCTAACCTGATCAATAATCTTATGATTCGATATTATAATAGAGATCTAATCAAATTCAACCTCTCACCTTTTATTAAATTAGAGATTGATCAATAATCCAAACTCGTTAGAATAGCAATAATTCGGGGATTGTGCTCAATTTCATGAAGATTTATTTGCTTTGACACGACTTTGAACGATTTCGAGATTTGAGAGAATATCAATTATTATAGAATTTTAAATCCTGAAATATTTATTTTTAACTAATATTCATCTATAATGATATTATTTAATGATGGTGTCACATTAAAACAATCGAATAGAAGATTGGAAAATTTTTTATGATAATAAATGGTGATCTAGTATATATCTCGTCTCCATAACTAAAGAATTAAAGATTTGTTTTAAATTGAAAATATTGAAGAAAATAAATAATTCTTATTATTTGGATATTATTCTCAACTGATATTCAATTAAATAAAAATCATATTTATTTTTTTTTAAATATTTACTGTATCGTTTTCTTTTTTTTTTGTAATATTTAAAAAAAATTCTTTTTATAAAATGAAATAATTATCATTTCCTTTTTATTTGATTATATTGAAGAGATTTCTGACAAATATTCTTTTATTATTTATTCAAATCGATAAAATCTTTACTAATTATATTCTTAACTAGGTTTTTTTCTCTTTTATTTTTATTTATGAAAACAAACAAAACAAGCTTGATTTTTTTCAATATTCTATTAGATTTCTCTATGCTTATATTTAAATAAAATAAATATTTCATTAAAAAATAAAAACATATAAATATCATCCAATTCTATCTCATTCTTCGAAACTCTCGATATCAATTCATTTCGAACAATTTCTCACTGTAAAACTCGATTAAATTCCATCAATAGGATTCGATCATATCAGACAGTGGAAATTTATCTATTATAATCATATACGATTCTATTCAACTCTTTCATTTTCAAATAGATTTACAATTATTTTTATGACGAACTCAATCGATTTTCGCCTAAGATAAATAATATATATATCTAGTGTGACAAAACCCAACAAAAAAACATAGAATTTTCCTAAAGTACGTTAATAAATGCGTTATTAGAGTTATGTGAGAATATATATATATATATATTTTAAAACTAGCTTTGTCTGATCTCATACGCACGGTTTTCAGAGAAGAGAATAGACTTATTGAATATATTTACTAAATTTCTCGATAGAATTATACAATATGAGTCTGAAATTTTTCTAATTCTCTCACACTAGTCTCAATTACATATTTAGTTCTTCTCACTTAAAATGATGAAATCTTAAACATTTCCACTAAATAGAAAATCAAAAGAGAGAAAACTTGGAAAAAAATAATCTTCTCAATATAAACTGAAAAACAGAAAATACTATTAAAATCGGTCAGAAAAATTTTCTTCTTTTTTCGTTTACTGAATGATATCGAGTTGAATTCTATTATTGATCATCTCTATTCCTCTTGTGTATTCATTCTCCTTGTCTATGAGACACATTCTATCTCAATAATAGACCCGCGTGAAAATACAAACACGAGCAAATTAGTTAAAAAGAATCATCTATCATAAAGAATAAATATATTCCTTTGAGTTGACTTAAACTGTCAGAGTTAAATGACAATTTTTCAACTTTCCCAGTTGATGCTAAATTAGAATGGATGAGAAAAGTTCATATCATTAATATACACACTACTATCATTCATTACAGGATATATACTAGTATTAAATGGTGGAAATCGAGGCGTAGAACAGGTGCTACTCTTTAAATAAAATCAAGTCATCTTAATATTGATTAGAATGTTTAAAGTAAAAGTTGAACTTCAACAAATTTGCTCAAGTATGTTAAACTTATAATATAACTTCTAATAAGAATCAACCACTACACAAAAAATTTGGCTACGTGTCATTCAGACAAAAAGGGAAACAATGATCTGCGATTTTTGTCATCTAAAATGATTCTTAGTGATTTTATGTGATTTTTATGAGTTTAAATGATTCTGTGTGATCGGATATAGTGTAAATGTTTATCATAAAAGAATTGTTAGAGTTATTTCCGATCATTATCTCGTATTGGAAAAATAGTTGAAAGGAGAATGCCAAATTACGAATCTAGGATCCCAAAAAATCTGAACTTAATTTTATTATCCTGAAAATCAGTATTTGTCTCTGATTATCTATATGAAAACTTCAACTCACGTGAGCTGGAGCTGCTGACAATTTCACTTTCCATGAGCTGGAGTTGTTCACCAGTTCTTTTCATATGAGCTATCTCATAGCTTTTGTGGTGGTACCCATAAGTCCTCAAGAGCTTTTCAATGGGGATATTCATAGGTCCTCAAGCCCTATCCTATGGGTATCATGGGGGGTACAGCTTCGATTTTTTAGGGGAAGCACTAAACTTTAAAATAAAACTATATTCCTTCCCCCTCCCCCCCCCCCTTCCTCACACACACATACATTCACAGTGAATAGTTCGGCATTATACATTTTCTAATACGTAATTTCTGAGAGACATAATATAATATTGGAGTGTTAAGTATTAATTCATCTGTCAGTGGCAACAGATCAAAAGCTTCAGAGTAGTATAACGCTTCGCTTTGTGTACTCAAAAAGTGAGTACACTCTAGAATCGGTCAGTGTGTCCGGCCGTCCGTTTACACGATAACTTTTGAAAGGAGAGTCCGATCACGCTGAAATTTTCTACACAGCTTAGTCTCAACAGTATCTCGGTCGAGTTCGAAGATGAGAATGATTGACCGAGCCATTACTGAGTTATTGTGAAAATAGTCATTTTTCCCTATGAGAAGATCGACCTATCTCCGCTTTCGTAAAAAACTTTTCCTATCATACTCAAAATAAAACCCCAACTATTATATACCATTCAATAGAGAATTTCACGAGCTACAAAGTGGTATATAAAACATAAGGAAACAAGAAAGCCAACTCAGCTATTGCAAAGATAATTAAACGGTATTCGGTTCTGTTTTTGTCCACACTCTAATTGATCCACAAATAGAGCTCGTTCTTTCGATCACAAAGATGATAGTTCGAGGTTTTCTGGAGTGGAGAACTCGAATCTGTGCTCGATTCACCTCGAAATCCTATTAGTTGAGCAGTAGCCAATAGAAATCAAGTGTTTATAGATAAGATTTGCCAGGATCATTTTTATATCCCCATATTCTAGAACGATTCCCAGGTCCAAGATGTACGGCGGGAAACCGCCTGATCCGGTCAAATTCCGGCTATTTCAGGGTGGCAGTATTCCCAAATCGGTTCCAGCTTTCGTTTCCTACTTAATTCCCGTCAGTTCCGGAGTCCGAAAAAGATGGCCGGATACAGATCCCTGTTTCCGGTATGGTTCCCGCGCCTGGTTCCAGCGACTTATGACGGCGACAGGATACGAGCCATAAACTGTCATTTCCAGTATGGTTCCAGCGACTTATGACGGCGACAAGGATACGAGCCATAAACTGTCGTTTCCGGTGTGGTTCCCGCGCCTGGTTCCAGCGACTTATGACGGCGACAGGATACG